GAGATTATGTGATTTTCTAAGAGGATTATGTGATTATGTGATTATCTAAGAGAAGGAAGTAAGACAATGGAACTGGATTAATAAATCAAGACTGAAGTATTGCTGTCTATTATTTTTAATAGCTTTATTGAGATACATTTCACATATCAAAACATTCATCCATTGAAAGTGTACAGTTCAGTGCTTTTTCATATATTCACAGTTGTGAAACTATCACAATATAACTTTGGAACATTTTCAGCACCCCAAGAAGACTGTTATTGATTAAAGTCTCAGACTCAGTGAAGTTCTCTAATAACTTATAGATTTTCATTCAGAAGAGATGCAAATGATTTCTGTTTAGTAAAAAAGGTAGCCCCAAAGCTTATGTTTTTATTGTCCTGTAGACATTTAACCAGTTTTGTATCTAACCTGGCAGTGTTAGTCCAATATTCCTTCTCCAATGCCAAGGCCTATACCTTTAATTCTCCTTTGAACCAGCTTTACCATCATGCTGATTCCCTCATTGATGAGGTAATGAAATCTGTGACATGTTTTCATTGTATATTTGTGTGAGAGTCATATTTTAAAGTTTTTGAAACTTATATTTGACAATCTGAATGCTCTTAGCTCAATGGTGGGCACATAGCTGGCAATCAATAAATATGTCTTGACTTACTGATCTCCATTTTTTGATAGGGGATACATCAGACTTTTAAACTTTGGAAAGAGAGAATAAATTTTCAGAAACTCTTTAAGAAAAGTCAGAAAATGAATCTGGAATGATATTTTGTATTTGGGTTTCAAATTCTAAAATTTAAAGTATTATTTATTTTTGTGCAAGTAGTATATGCGATAGAATAAAATCTGAAATGTATAGAAGAGAATGCCCTGGGAAGCTAAGTCTCCATCCCACCATTTCCTTCAGCCAGTAAGTTTGCTCCTGGTACTGGTTTCGTGTGCATATTTTCACATACACACACAAACACACATTTTTAAAATTTTTATTAAAAAATATATGGCATGCCTTATACGCTCTTTGCAACTTGTTTTTTTTACTTACTGATATTTATTGAAAATTGTTCAACCTCAGTATACATAATAGTTGCCTCAGTCAAAACATGTCTGGTGGCTGATCACTTTTCACTACTTCCACTGCTTCCACACACATCTTCATCTCTTGCAGGAGCTACGCAGGTCTCCGTTTCCATCCCTATTACACCTCTATGATCTCTTTGCAACATGGTGGCCAGAATGATTCTCCATATATGTAGGTCAGATCATCTCCCATTTAGAGCAGAGCTAAACACCTCACAACGTCCTACAAGGTCCTTCACACATGATCTGCTTCCCTACCATCACAACAGTTGCTTCTTGGCCTCAACTCCAATCTCTCTCCCTCACTCCACTCTTGTCACTGTGGCCCCCTTGGTGTTCCTCTAACACATCAGGCACACTCCCACCTCAGGACTCCCACCCCTTGCTATTCCCTCTGACAAAAGGCTACTCGCCAGACATCTGCATGGCTTCCTCCCTGACCTCCTTGAGGTCTTTGCTTAAAAGTCGCTTCTCACTGAGCCTTCCTTGACCACCACCTCCAGCTCCTTCTCTCATGCACACACTCCCATCCCATTTGCCTACTTTATCTTTCTCCACAGCATCGGACATACCATATATTTTACTCATGTATTATCTACATATAAGCTCCATGAAAGTGAGGATATTTGTTTCTTTTGTCCACTGCTACATTCCTAGCACCTAGAACAGGGCCTGGCACAAAGTAGGTACCTAATAATATTAATTAAAAGAATTGATGAAATTATGCTGCATAGTACTTGTATATTTGTGTTCTACTTGTGTGACCCAGTGTAGTATAGTTTAACCATTGCCATATTTGGGGACTTATATATGCTTTTGGTACCTTTTGACATTGATAAAGTTGCCTAACTTCCCTGAGCCTTGATTTTCTCCCCTATAAAATGGGAATAGTAGTTGTACCTACGTTTTATAGCATTGTTTGGGAATTACATTTTTAAAAGAATGTAAAGTGTTTAGCACTATGCCTGACTTATAGTAAGTTATTTATAATATAATTATGATTTCTCTCATTCATCAGAAATGGACTTACGAGAAGAAGAGATGATTGAGTATATAAAAACTTCTTGTTCAAAAACCCAATAGTGCTAACTTTTAGTGATTATCTCCTTACAATAGAATATAAGCCACTTTGTTCTTTTTTTGGAGAAATCATTTAACATCTTCAGAAAAAAATTTTTAGCTCTTCAGAAGTAGGGACCTTTATCTCTGCATTTTCCATTTTCTAGCTGGTCCTGAAAATAGTGCCTGCTCAATAAATTTTGTTGACTAAACAAATGGAAGAATGAATCTCAGTGGGTATAAGCAAGTTCATATTTACTGAAAAGCTGCAATTTGCCAGGTACTGCAGTAGGCACTAGGGATATAAAAAAGAACATTTGGGGGGTGAAGTTTATTTCAATACCTTCACATAGTAATCATTGAGTTTGGGAGATGTATTTTTACCTCAAAAGTAGTCTTCTAACTGGGGGAGGGGGAATTTGGATTCATCACCTTGTGCAAAGTACAAAACTCCAGAAAGGCATCTTTGCCGTAATTTCTCTGAAGAGCTTTTCAAAGAAACAGAACATCAGTGGTTTATCAGGTAGACATCAAGAGTGAAGAAGCAGGCAGACCAATATGGGAAATCCTATGGTGATTCAAGACTTTAGTGATTTCCTGGGGTCCCCACGTATCTTGCTAACCATGAATGATTCTATATTTGGTGCAGAATGAGAGTACGATGGTGAGCCATGCAGCTTGAGACAGAGAAAAAGCCTGACCTGAAGTGCAAGACTGGGGATAGAATCCATCCAGCTCTACGTTCTGCCCCTGAGCAAGATAATCCTGAGCCTCAGTTCCTCACCATAAAATTATGGTTTTAAAAACTAGCTTCCTTTACAAGAATATACAATGGGAAAAAGACAGTCTGTTCAGCAAGTGGTGTTGGGAAAGTTGGACAGCCACATGTAAATTAGTGAAGTTAGAACACACCCTCTCACCATATACAAAAATGAACTCAAAATGGCTTAAAGACTTAAATATAAGACATGACACCATAAAACTCCTAGAAGAGAACATAGGGAAACCATTCTCTGACTTAAATCATACCAATGTTTTCTTAGGTCAGTCTCCCAAGGCAATAGAAATAAAAGCAAAAATAAACAAATGGGACCTGATCAAACTTATAAGCTTTTGCATGGCAAAGAAAACCATAAACAAAACAAAAAGACAACCTGTGGAATAGGAGAACATATTTGCAAATGATACAACTGAGAAGAGCTTAATGTCCAAAATATACAAATGGCTCATACAACTCAACAATAGAGAACATCCCAATCAAAAGATGGGCATAAGAACTAAATAGACATTACTCCAAAGAAGACATACAGATGGCCAATAGGCAAGTGAAAAGATGCTCAACATCGCTAATTATTAGAGAAACGCAAATCAAAACTGCAATGAGGTATCACCTCACACCAGTCAGAATGGCCATCATTAAAAAGTTTACAAATAACAAATGCTGGAGAGGGTATGGAGAAAAGGGAACCCTCCTACACTGTTGGAAATTAAATCGGTACAGCCACTGTGGAAAACAGTGTGGAGGTTCCTCAAAAAACTCAAAATAGAATTACCATATGATCCAGCAATCCCACTCCTCTCCTGGGCATACATCTGAACAAAACTATAATTCAAAAAGACACATGCACCCCTATGTCATAGCAGCACTATTCACAATAGCTAAGACATGGAAACAACCTAAATGTCCCTCAACAGATGAAGGGATATAGATAGAAGATGTGGTACGTATATAAAATGGAACACTACTCAGCCATAAAAAGAATGGAATAATGCCATTTGCAGCAACATGGATGGACCTAGAGATTATCATACTAAGTGAAGTACATCAGAAAGAGAAAGATAAATACCGTATGATATCACATTTGTGGAATCTAAAATATGACACAAATGAACTTATCTACGAAACGGAAAGAGACTCACAGACATAGAGAACAGACTTGTGGTTGCCAAGGGGGTGGTAGGGGAGGGATGGATTGGGAGTTTGGGGTTAGCAGATGCAAATTATTATATACGGGATGGATAAACCACAAAGTCCTACCATACAACACAGGGAACTATATTCAACGTCCTGTGATAAACCATAATGGAAGAGAATATGACAAAGAATGTGTATATACATAAAACGGAATCATAAATTAACAGAAGAAATTAACACAACATTGTAAATCAGCTATACTTAAATTAAAAATAAGAAGGAGAAGAGAAAAAATAGAAGCCAAGGTTGGGTTACCTTTGTGGGGAGGGAGCATGCAGAAGAGGGGCTGGCAGGGTTCTATTTCTTGCTCTGGGTAGCAGCTACAAGGGCGTTCACTTTCTTGTTACTCATTAATCTATATATTTATGGTTTGTGCACTTTCCTGAATGTGTGTTATATTTCACAATAAAAACAGTTTCTAAAACTGTAAATATATATATATAAGTTAGTCTCCTTGAAATGAGAAAATGGGTGAGAAAATTCTCCATACCCTGGAAACGACAGTACCAATGGGACTCTGACGGGTAGCACTCTTTCTAAGTTCCTGCCTGCACTGTGCTATATACGCTGAGGGCACAGAGAACAGCAATCCCAATAGAATGCCTGCCCTTAGCAAGTACACAGGCCACTTCCAGGATTTTATCCCCAGGGCATCGTTCAGCAGAAGTATGAAGATGATCCCTGCAGGGAGATTTGTAACAACAAGAAGACTGGAAACCACCCAGATATTTACAAAAGCAGGATGGTTTTCTCAACATTTTGATTAGAAAGACTATCCAGCCTACCCACACCTATACCCTGGCAGGGTCAGCCTGTTCCCTATGGATGTGGTGGTTGGTTTAGGGGGGAGTCTGGTGAGCCTGCCCCGAGTGGGTGGGGGCTTGGAGGCTCAACAAAGGGGTGTGTGATGGTGATGGGTCACAAAGGACTGTGCAGAATAAATGAGGTCGGGCCAAGAGACTTAGGCAGAGCCCTGCAGGGAGGTGGCCAGTTGCCTTCATTCCCTGTCTCTCCGAGACTCGATGTGTGGCTGGTGGCCGCTGTCTCGAACGAATAGAACCATGAGCAGTGAGCATTTGTTACCTCATTACACGGCCAACAGCTACCGTTCAGTAGGCGTGTTCAGTACCTCCATGGGGGACCTGCAACGACAACTGTACAAGGGAGGAGAGTATGACATTTTCAAGTATGCTCCCATGTTTGAGAGCGACTTTATCCAGATCAGCAAGAAAGGAGAGGTGATTGACCTACACAACCACGTCCAAATGGTGACTGTGGGCATCGCATCCACCAGCCCCCTCCTCCCACTACCTGACGTCATGCTGCTGGCCCGGCCAACAAAAGCCTGTGAAGAGCATGTCAGATACGCCCAGATCACCAAGGGAAAAGGTCGCGAGCCCATGAAGACCCTAGAGCTTACCAGGCTGCTTCCCTTGAAGTTTGTCAAGATCTCCATCCACGACTGCGAGAAGCAGCGGCTGCGCCTGAAGCTTGCCACCGGCCGTACTTTTTATCTGCAGCTGTGCCCCTCTTCCGATGCTCGAGAAGACCTCTTTTTCTATTGGGTGAAGCTTGTCTATCTCCTGAGACCACCGGTAGAGAGTTGCAGCAGTACCCCGACGCTCCAAACGGGAGATTCAGCGACTATTCAGGATGCCAAAATCCTAGTGGTAAGCACCTACAGAGACTCAAGAGCACAGGGCAGGGTGCTTTGGGAGAGCAGGGCAAAGCTGGTCCTTCATAGCCTTTGGTGCTCTCTGAGGCTCACCTGGGAAATACCTTCCATTTGGTGCTCTCTGAGACTCACCTGGGAAATAGCTTCCATTGTTGAAAAGGGTCAGGGACAAATGAGCCATTCACCACACTGGAGAGGTTCTGAGTGCTTCTCCACACTGTCCCACAAGGCCGAATTTCAGAGAGACCTTAGGTATCATATCAGCTGCACTGGTCTCATCCCCAGGGCTGTAATCCCTTCTACAGCATCCTGATTGTCCGGTCTCTTACTGAACACTTACCCCAGCCCAGAGAGTCTCATCAGTTGTGGAAATCATTCACAGTTAGGAAGTCCTTCCTTCATTCTGTCTCCCCGTGACTCTGACACGCTGATTAAAATCAGCCCAACCAGTGTAGTCACCAAAATGTAGGTGTGCATCCCTTGACCCAGGAACCCCGCTTCTAGGAATTGTCCTGCAGAGAGAGAAGCACAAGGGTATAAAATTAAAGTGTATATCATGGAGAATTGTATCAGTGCTTTCCCTGGCCCTGGGATTGTTCAAGCAAAATGGAGTGGCCGTTTGACAGGGGTGCAGTAGATGGGATCTTGCATCCAATGGGAGCTTAGATTTGGTGATTTCAAAGGTTATTCTGAGTATAAGCCCTTGAGTTGCTCAGCTCCAGGATGAGAGAGGAGCGGACAGTTCTGATCTCACTTTCTGTCATCTCTATCTTATCTGTTTCTCCTCCTCTTGGCTCAGACCACAGAGCTCCACAGGGAAAGGGATCAGGATGAGGCCGGGCTTCACAAGCTTCGTGACATGTCTGGAGCCACGTCTTGTGCTTATGTTGGGGGAGAGGGAATCCATCATGCCCCCCATGGCTCAACTGCAGCCGTGAAAAGTGCCGAAGGATCAGCTGCAGAGATGACCACGGGCCAGGTCGCAGCAGAGACAGCATCAAGACCTGGCGGAGGAGTGGCAGTCTCAGGGGTGGGAGCAGGCCCTGCAGGAGGCGCTGTGAGCTTGGCGGCAGCCAAGAGCACAGGCACCAGCCAGGTGAGCATGGCCCTGGCGGGAGCCACCATCAGGGATCCAGGAGAAAGCGGATCCGGCAAGGCCATTGCAGGTGCTGCCAGCACATCCTTGGAGGACACGAACCTGGTCTTGGCGGGTGCTGCCAGCACATCCTCCACAGGGGCAGGTAGTCCAGAGAGCAGCATGAGTGTGGTGTTTGCAGGTGCAGCCACGACCAACAAGCCTGCTGCTGGAAGAGCTGAAGGGCAGGTCGCAGCCCCCCTGGTCTCCACCTTGCAGAGCGAAGACTACATGTCTGAACGGGATGGAAGCCAGAAGGTCTCCCACCCCAGGGATGAAGCCTGGAAGGAGAAAAAGGAAAGAAGGGAAAAGAAGGACAAGTCTTCATCTAGGAAAAGTTCCCATCACCGCAGGACAGGTGAAAGTCACCGCAGGACAGGAGGGGACAAGACCCAGAAATCATCCTCCTCCTGGTCCTTATCCGGCCATGGAAACTCAAAAGTTGACAAAAAAGAAAAAGGGCACAGTGGCACCCGGAGCAGAAGACACAGCTCTCACAGGAGTGGCAGCCACAGGTCCTCTGCCAAGAGCCGGTCCGCCACCAGTTCAGGGACTCTAAGTAAGAAATCCAGTAAGATCTATTCGTTTTTCAGGAGCTTCAGAGTCATTCCTGGTTCACAAACAATGGTCACACAAGACAGAGAGGTAGACTTCGTGGCTAAGACGGTAGAGGAGCGCAACATAGAGGCCAAGGTGGAGAAAGCCCCAGTTGGCCAGGATCTGGAGATCTGTGGAACCATGACATCAGAGCCGATGGAGACCATCGTTATTGAAACCAAATCCATTTAAATAGAAGCCAGGGCAGGAAGCTTTCCATGGAGACCCAGCTTCAGGGAAGGATCCCTAGAGAGGCAATTCCTGCTTTCTTTAATAAAGGAAACCATACAACTCCAAAAGAAATGCTATCTTCTGTTTTGTGTCCCCTCGCCTGGTAGTGACTTCACAGTGACTTCTGTGATGTGAATTGTGCTTCAGCCTGAGACCCCAACCTCCAGTCAAGCAGGACCCCCACCTCCCACCCACGCCCAGCAGAGCCAGCATTAGTGCCCTGCCTTGCCTCAACCCCTTCCTGCCTTTGTTTTCCCCAAGACTATGGCTGCAAGTCACAGACTACGGGCTGGGAAGCATCACCACCAGCCTATCCCCAAGCCCTTCCTTTTCTCCCTGAAGGTCCCTGAACATGGTCATTCAGTCCAGTCCATAGACTAAATGAAGACAGGACTCATGTCTCCTCTAGGGATAATCAGGGAAGAAAAGAAGGGGTGCCTCAGCATTTGTAGGCAATCAGAATAGTGAAGTTTATCATCTTGATCAGGACTGACAGCCTGAGGGTCAAATCTTGCCAACTGCCTGGCTTTATGAATAAAGTTTTATTGGGCATAGCTACAGTCATTTATTTAAATATTGTCTAAGGCTGCTTTCACATGAAAATGACAGATTTGAGTAGCTATATCAGAAACCACATGGCCTGCAAAGTCTAAAATATTTATTTTCTGGCACTTGGCAGAAAAGTTTTGCCCACCTGATTTTAATCTTAAAATTCTTCTTCCTCTTGGGTATGTACTCTGGATAAACTCTCACAAATGCTTGCCACGAGACAACTAGGAGGATGTTTGTAGTAAAACTGTAATAGCAAAACCCTGGAAACAGTCCACATGTTCACCAAATAGGAGAAATGATCAATTGTGGCATATGCCTACTGTGCATATGATACAGCAGGGAAGATGAATAGCAGCTGTACAGGGTAGCATGGGGGAGTCTCCCGTAATGTCGAATAAGAAAAGCAAGTCAGAAAAATACAGGCAATATAGTTCCATTTGTAGAAAAGTTCAAAAACAAGATCAAACAATGTGAGTAAGGGCACACATTTGCTAAAAGTGTAGAAAAAAACAAGGACATGATAAACACAAAATTCACAATAGTGGATTTCTGTAGGGTAAAAGGAAGGGAAGGATGGTCTGGGAGGAAAAGCTTCAAAAGAGTGGGAATTTTTCTATTATGCAAAGGGGTATGTCCATGGGAATGTATTATTGTTTCCATTTTATTTTAACATCTCTGACATCAGGATGATTTTTCTATTGCTGTCAGCCAAGTGGCCGTCACTGCCTTAGAAATATCTTAACCAATTTGTTTCACTTTTGTTTTCCTTTCAATATACGCACAAGAGATGGATGACAAAGTCTGAAAGATATCTTTCAATAAATATAAGATAAAGAAACTAAGTGACATAAATACTCACTATCCAGGAACACAAGAAAGGTTTAGATATATTGTTAAGAAATAATAGAATAATCCAAAATGCTCTGTACTAATGAACTATGTAAATTATGTATGCATGTGGAAAGCGATTCTAAAAATTAAAAAATCATAAATGAGATTATGAAATCTCATTTCATAATGAGATTATGCATTTTTAAATGTCCTTTTTAAAAAAGTCTTTCCAATTTAAAAAGAGTTGTAAATAAATTCCATGAGTCCATGAAAATCATTAAATTGTTAACAACAGAAGATAACAGTTGGATTAGAGTAACTGTTGATAACATGAGAGAACCATGTGTGTTTGTATGAGCCAGGGAGTCATCTGCTAGCCTTGCAATTCTCTGCTCATTCTCTTCTGTGACAACAGGGTCTACCAGGACGGAAGTCGGGTTTCCAGTAAAACTTAGGGACTTTCTCTGCAGAGCAAATGTAAGTGGTAGAGGTGGAGGAGGTGAGAAATAAGATACGGATTCTGGGAGGAGTGGTAGCTTGGGAGGATGAGAGGAGGCCCTTCTCAGTTGATCTGGTGGGTGGCTGGAAAATCCCATCTTGTGATTTCCGATACACAAAGACCAATAGATGGTGGGGATCAATGTGTCCTTGGAGTTAACTCTTGAAGCAGTGGGTCTTGGTAAGAGGAGAGAAAGAGCCATGTTCTCTAAGACATGAGAGGGATTTGGGGGAAGTCTTCTGGAAATGTGAGGAGTTATGGGGTGGAGGAGAGAGATAAAGGGGAGCTCTTTCCAAAGCCTTTGACTCAGAGCCCCGAATTTTCACTATGCGGAGGCTGAATCAGCCTAGTTAAAACAGCTTAATCGTACGATTCTGTACCCTTGGCTTTACCTTTTGTCTTTCTTATCCTGTATTACGCATTCTCATTTCCTCACCCCAAAGGACTTCTTTAACGTGAACCTAGTTAGTCCACTATGCAGGGCGTTAGCTGAGCAGACCCACAGTTTACACAATTTACACCTCCACTGAAGTAAAGTGGAGGTGGGGACTTGCCCACCGCAACGTGCCCTGCCTGGCACTTTCTCTGGATTTCCTTTTCTATCTTGACAGTTCATCAAGAGACGCATGCACAGATACCTACATATTTCAAAGCAACGGGCATCTTCCTCTGGAGGGAGACATCAATTTGGGTATCAAGTCAGTACACCCTATCAGATAAAGGCCAATATTTTTGACAGCAATATTCATCACCATGGTAGCGATTCTGCAGCTGCAAGTGCAACTAGGCAATGGATGGTTGATTACAAACTAACCAGTGTCCCAAACTTCAAGTCTGGCAACACACATACATACTAGAAAGGGGTTTTTTCCCTGCAGCAAAATAAGGTCATTCACAGGATTGTTGTGATCGACTGGAGTCTTTCACACGCAAGAAAGATGTGCTATGGTGGGAAGAAGCAAGTTGCCTCAAAATATTGAAGGCAGTGTCACAGCTGGCAGAGCAAGCGTGATGTGATACTGGGGAACACAGCAGGGGCCAGGCCATGCAAGGCTTTGAGGTCCATTTAAACGATTTTGATTTCTGACCTTGGAGTGATGCAAAGCCATGATATGTTTTAAATAGGGGAGTGGCCTGATCAAATGTGCCCTTTGTGGAGGGTACTGTGGCTTCTGTGAAAAGAAGTATTTGGCTAGGGGGTTGTTAATATGTGACTTTATGTTACTTCCTATCTTTGGCCACAGGATCTATATAATGAGGAGATTGGAGGGTATGTTTTGAAAGACACCGTTCCATTTGAAATATCCATGTGGGGTGGACATTTCTTCAATGAAGGACTTGTGGCCCCAGCTGCTGGGGGTGCTTCCCACAGAAAGCCTTCAGCTGGCAGTGAGTTTGGAAATTGCCTGGGTTCCTCACCCGAGGGGCACGGCAAGAACTGATTGATGTGGAGTGTGAAGGTCAGGCCATCGTAGCCCAACACAGACCCTCTCTGAAGGGTTGCTCCAGTTCAAGAGCTCAGCTTCTCCCTCTGTGCACTCCTGCTTCTGTCCCTTCCCTTCCAGTGGTGATCCTAGGAGTACTCCTTAATAAACACCCTCCTCACAAAACTCTGTCTCAAAATCTGCTTATTGGAGAATACAGTCTGTGATACCATGTTAGTGTAATGTGCTGGGGTCACCTCCTCTGACTCAGGTGTCAGTTGGAGGACGATAATAAGGAGACAAAGGAAAGCAGATTCAGAAGGAAGAGAGCTAAATTCTGTGCAAGTCACAAAGACTGGCGTCTGCATGGGGTAAAGAAGCCCATAGGAACTTGAACACATGAAATCTGTTTCTGTCCTTTGGAGGCCCCATGTTCTAAGAGAAGTTCATTCTGGACCCGAAGCAGGTGGAACCAAGTGGGTAAAGAGTTTCTCAGATAACTGCAGAGAAGCAGCATGTGGGCTTGCCATGGGTTGGACCAGTGTATCTGCAACCCCTAGGATGGTAGTTGGCATTTAGTAGATGAGCAATAAAAATGATGAGTCATGGCATTTATTAGAAAATGAATGCATCATTAAGCTCTAAAAACCTAAGTGTGTGTTGCCACCCATGCCTTCAGGAAAATAATTCCAATCTTCGAATGACAGAGTTCCATGGAAGGACCTCTCCTTTTTAAATGGTGGTATGTGAACTGCTGATCCTGTCTTTATTTAAAATTGTAATAGTTTGTCCATCATGGGCTTTTTGCCTTAATTGTTGTTTTTTAAATATTGCATTTATTTATCTTGCTTACTGAGGTTTTCTCCCCCTCCTTAATTTTGCATCTGAGGCAAGTGCCTCACACACCTTACCTTGGTCCCAGCCCTGAAGTGATTCTGAAAGCAAGCAGCTCATATTTGTACACAACTGCCATTCAGGAAACTTGAAATTTTTCTCATTTCTTTTGATTGTGTTCAATACCCATCTTTCCACAAGTTTTTTTTTTTTTTTTTTTTTTGCCACACTGCTTGGCTTGTGGGGAATCTCAGTTCCCTGACCAAGGAGTTGAACCCGGGCCACGGCAGTGAAAGCCTGGAATTCCAACCACTAGGCCACCAGAGAACTCCCCATCAATACCCATCTTTCAGCAAAAATATATTCAGCACTGGCTACGTGTGAGGCAATGCTAGGAATTGTCAGAGCTGATGCAGAGATAAGTTAGGAAGCTAGCTATAGCCACAGAAATAAAGCAGGTGTGTAATTACAACATAAGGCAGAGAAGTGCTGGAAGTGTAGAAAAGAGGCTACGAGTGGGTATGGAGGTACTTTTTATTTGGGTGAACTTGGAGAAACTTTTTGAAGAAGGTCACGTTTGAGATGGAATTTAAAAGGTTGGATACAGCCCAGATCTTTTGGGGAGTGTTTAGAAAATAAATCAAGCAGTCGATAAAATGGAAAGATTTTGTGATGATTCAAAAACACATATGATAGTGGCACAGCTATATAATGTAAATGTAGACTTTAATGACAGTAATAGTGTCGACGAAAATTCAATTAACTACGAAGTTAAGAAGAAAAAAAGGGAATTTAATTTGAGCCATACTGAGGATTGTAAC